CTTCACTTCCCCCTGTTCAGATTAAATGCCAAAAAAAAAAAAAAAAAATCAGCAGACTGCAGTTTTGGAAGAGGTTCTTGGAAGAGATTTATCTCCTCACTCTTAATCTTCTAAAAACAGACCACTTTTTCTTCTACCCCTCACCAAGCGGTGATGGATGCCACACCTGCCTCTGAGGTGACAAAACCTAAGTGATGAATAAAAGCCTTTTATGATGCCTTATGATTCTCGCACATTCTGTGGCAGGTGAAAGCACCAGCCTGGGGCACTGAGCCATGTGACGATGCTCTGAGGGGTGTTATTCTGCTTCAGGCAACCTTGGGGGATTTCTTCTGGCATTGCTAACCTTTGATATGTTGCTCTGTCCTTTCAGATTTTTGACAATGAAGCCAAAGACCTAGAGAGAGAAGTTTGCTTTATTGATATTGCCTGTGATGAAATTCCAGAACGCTACTACAAAGAATCCGAGGTGAGTGATAGATGGAGAACATGTACAAGAGATCGACTGACCCATTCATTCATTCATTCATTCATTCATTCATTTATTCATTCATTCAACAGGGATTCAAGTGCCTCCTCTCCAGGGATCCTTCCATCTGTCTTTGTGTGGCTTTAGTTTGGTCTCCCATCTTGCTGGGTTATTTACTGTGGGTCTCAAAATTAGGTCTCTGCTCCTCAGGGCCCGTTACTGGCCTACCTGCCAATCACTTTCCATTAGCTTTCCTGTCTGCCCAACTCTGCTGTCCATCTGGGCCACATTGATGTTCACAGGGCTGAGCCATCTAACACACTGGCCTCTGAAAAACAGCAGCCTGAATCTCCACCCACATGCTCTGCCAGGGCAGGAGCTATATTTTATTTTTATCTTTTGGGTTTTAACATTTTTTTTAAAAAAAATTCTCAAACAATCCTCAAAACTTTTGACTGCTCATGACGGTCTAGAACCTTTCTCTCAAAATAGCAAGCACCTTCAGAAGGCCTTCTCCTTTCTTCTTGGCTGAAAATACATTTAAGAGACTCTTTCCCTCTGATTTCCACCCTGCCAGAATTCGCCCTTTGCCCAGTTCTCCCTCTTGATTTTACTTGTTGGTGTAAGTCACCATTTATATCCTCTTAGTATTTTATTAATGGCTGCTGGCGGAACTTGAGTGACCCGCCTGTAAATAACGTCCCAGCCCTGCAATGACAACAGATGCAGGGCTATTTTTGTTGTTTAGCAACATGCAGCCAATCACAATATGTTTGGAATCAGGGCCCCAGACTCGTCCTTGAGCTGTAACACACAGACCTTGAAACTCTTCCCTCAGATTCATTAAGGCTCATAGAAGATGTTACAAATAATCCTGTTAAAAAGAGAATTCCAACTGGGCTCCAGTGTGGTTCAGATTTGTTTGCCCTCACATTCTGGGATACGTTTGGATAGAAAAGTTTTGCCTGATCCTGGGAGATGTGTAGCTGCTTAATTGCAGGCTCATGGCTCTCCAGCTGCTGTCCCTTAAAGGGCCTGGGAGAGGCTGATGTGAATCACGCTGGTCATACCCATCAACACAAAGGCTGGGCATGTTAATGTCATCAGCTTGTATTGCACTCTGCAGCCAACTACACCTGTGTATTTTAAGAAGAATAAATCAAGCGCTCTCTGCCCAACTGTGGACCTGCTGGCAAGAAGGGTGAAGCAGAGCTCCACCCGCCTTCTGTGGTTCCATACAAAGTCCAAGGAGCTTAATTGGGCTTTTCAATGAAGGGCCCAACATTATGAAAAGCATTGGTAGAAGCCATGGCCCCGTCATTTTCTGTGGCTCCTTCATGTAGGGTCTGCTGTCCTCTGGACACCTTGTCCCCTGGAGCAGCTCTGTGCCTTCCAGGAAGGCAGTGTTGCCAGAAAACTGAACTAATTTCAGCCCTTCCTCCCAGAATGCTTTAGTGTGGTCCTGCCTATTCCTCAGGGAGCACTTTTCTGATTCAGTGGAAAGTCTTGGGATAAATAGGGAAGGGAATGGTAATGAAGAAATCAATGGTTCTCACTTAAGGTCACCAGGTGCCTGACTCACTTCCCTGTGCTTTGTTCTCCTAAGAACCACCCCTGGAAAGTTTCTTTCCATTCACACTGGTGGAGCGCCGTTGTCGTGCTTGATGGAGTCATGCACGGACATATTCATACCTCTGTCCTGGACCATGAAGCATTCTTTCCTGCATGTAGTTTGACCAAGGAAATGAGAGATGGTCACTCATCCAATAACTCTTAATGGAGTACTCATTGAATTAAGACAGATACATGGTAGTGAGACCCTCATGGCCCTCCCTCATGACACTTCTAATGTAGCAGAGGAGCCAAACAATAAAGGAAAACCCCATGAATATGGAAGTAGAGGGTACTCTCAGGAGAGATGTTCTGGAAGAAATGACAGCAGTGCTGAGACCTGCAGGATGAAAGAGCTGGGGATATCATTCCAGGTGGAGGGCAGAGCAAGTAGAGGACCCCAGTGTGACTGTTGTTGTTGTTGTTATTGGTACCAGGGATTGAGCTCGGGGGCACTCAACCACTGAGCCACATCCCCAGCCCTATTTTGTACTTCATTTAGAGACAGGGTCCCGCTGAGTTGCTTAGCATCATGCCGTTGCTGAAGCTGGCTTTGAACTCACGATTCTCCTGTCTCAGCCTCCCGAGCTGCTAGGATTACAGGCTTGCACCACCACACCCAGCTCCATGGGGACATGTTTAAGAGGCAAACATAGTGGCCACGGACAAACAAGGGAAGAAAGGGATGAAGGAGGAAGGGGCTGTTTAATAGACAGATTTTATTCAAGTACGGTAAATCCCTTTGAAGATATGGAAGATAGAGCATCATCGGGTCTGATTTATGCTTCCCAAAGATTGTTCTGGAAGGAAAATACATTGAGAAGGGCAGAATGGAAATCAAGAGACCACTGAGGTCAGTAGAGTTATTTGCATTTTTGGTTATTTAGGTTACATGCTGACTTGAACTAGAGTAACTAACAACAGACATAGAGAGAACAGATGGTTTTGAAATATATTTTGAAGGCAGAATTGACAGGGATCCATCTTAGATGGGCTATAAGGGTGAGAAAAAAAAGAGGAGTCAAAATGACCCAAAGGATTCTGGCATAGACAGCAGGTAGAAGGGGTTCCGTTTACTGAAATAGGAAGATGAGAAGAGGAATGAGTTTTGGAGAAAGCTTGGTGGACTTTGTGAAGCCAGTGAGACATCTAGCATGAGGAGCAACCAGTCTGGACCTTGGGTGGGGGATCTGGCCTGGAGACCAATCAGGGTATCTGGTGAGAAGAAAATGTAGAAAATTTTTTAGACTCCTGGGAATGGATGAGAGGGGGGGAAGGCATAAAGTGTAATGGGAATGGGGTGAAGGACTAAGCCTTAAAGGAGACCAGACAGAGGAGGCACCAGGAATCTACAAAGAACTGTCCAGAGACTGGGGAAGAACACAGGGAGGATGTGTCAAGAAATAGAACAGAAATAAAGGAGAGTGGAAAACTGTCCCTCAGAACAGTTCCCAGCTGGCGATGACTTTGTTTTGCATGGGTGCTTGCCCCACAACAGTTTTGGTTGTCACAACCTGGGGAGTGCTGCTGGCATCTGGTGGGTCAAGGCCAAACCCCCTATAAAGCTGCTAAACCCCCTATAAAGCACAGGACCACCCTTTACAATAATTATCTGGCCCCAAATGTCAGTAGTGCCAAGGCTAGGACACCGTGCTCTAGAAAAAGAGGTCACTGCAGATGAAAGGAACTCTGGGTCCAGCGCTCACAATGCTTCCTATCAAGAGTCTTAGGGTAGCTTAATGAATGTGGAAGAAATGGGCCTCCTGGGGCTCAGTCCTGTGAACTCTCCAGTCCCACTTCCAGAGGATCTGCTGCCTGCGTCACTGGGAGAATTCCTCCTCCTTTGGCAGTCACACCACAAAGGGCTACAGGCATAATCCAATCATCCGGAGCCTGTAATAGAATCTAAGGAAGAGAGTGTCTGTGGGACTCCCAGTGACCCCCCAACCCCACATCATCTGATTCTGAGAATCCCTGGCTACAGTCTGGACTCACCAGCAGTGTGTTTTATAGGCTGTGTGGGTTGTGTGTACTGTGAATGTGACAGGGACAGAGAATAAGAGAAGCAGCCAGTTGGCAAAACATTTCCGGATTTATTTCTGTTTGGCACATTGTAAATTATTAACACCCTCCTCCCCATCCTAAGAGTTTTCTTCTAATAGGAAATCTGACCTTTTTACTCTGCTTAAAACCCCTTACCTGGGCCACCTTTGGAGTTTGGCTCAAGCACGACTTCCCTTTAGGGAACTTTCCTGAGCACGTTGCTCCTCCAGCCCTTCCCTGGTCTGTAGCTTCTAGATCATTCCACCTCATGCTAGCTCATAGCCACAGCATGAGTTCCACGAAGCCAAGAGCCATCCTCCTTCTTCCCATACTCAGCAGCTACTGAAGCACCAGCTCTTAGCAGATGCTGCTCCCCAACAGTTGGTGAATGAACGCAAGTGAAGGCCAGGGGCTTTGTTTTTTAATTCCAGCAGTGACAATTTCAGAGAAAGTGCTATCAAAGAAAATGAATCTGTTGCCATTAAGCTAGCAGTTGTGAATCAGAGTTCCTTTTTGTTTAATCTGAGGCTGACTGCCTTATGGGCTTTTTCTTCCAATCCATTCTTGTAAGTTGACTATGTCAGCATCGTAAAGAGCAACACGCTTTCTCTGCGGAAAGCCAGGGAGCTGGTGGGCACAGTCTGCTCCAAGATTTTTTGATGCTGATGAATCCAGACCAGGGTTATCTGGAGCACTGCTCTGTACCCAGCTACAGCCACACACACACTGCCACTCAGGCCAAAGGAGGGGATTGAAGCCATTTCTTTGCTCGTCCTATTTCTCCCTGGAAACCTGAGCCACACAGTCAAGAATGTCTCTCTCATTAAGGTGACCAGAGTGGGGAATTTTCCACCAGCTGCCCTCTGCCTGACAGTCCCCATGCTACCACTAACCAGGGATTCAGAAGGACACTTTGGGGACTTGGGATCAGCTGATAGCCTGGTCCAGAGCTCTCCGATTTCTCATTTTTGCAGTGCTGCTATTTTTTATCCAAATCAAGAGCTGTGTTTCAGTTCCCCAGAGCTTCTGAGCCTCAAGTTTTATTCTCATATCCATTGGACAACGCTGCAGGGCAGTGTTGTAATGTTTAAAAAAAAAAAAGAGTGTGATTTCTCAGACATGGAGAACACCTCCATTAGGCACCAAGACCTGCCCGCGCCCCATGAAAGTCAGAAGGCTGTCTGCGCCTAATCACAGGGACAGTTTTCATCAGCACCCCAAAGCAGCAGAGAGGGTGAAGCTGAACACCAAGCAGGTTGTACTTGTTATGCGGTTGATAAGTGGCTCTTGCTTCTGCCAAGATTCCCATCCGACTCTTTGATGCTCTGCCAAGATTTCAAGGTGAA